TGCGCTCACGGGGGCGCGCGCCTTGTGCTTCCCGCTTCGCTGCCCCGCCCGCGCTCCCGCGGGCTCGGCCGGCCTTCCGGCTTCTCCGCCCAGGGCGGCCTAGCTTGGACACTTCCCTTTACCGGCGGGAAAACCGTTGGGAACCGGACTCGGGAGAGTAGGTAGGAGTGTCCCGCGAGGACTCCAGAACCGCGGCGGAATTGTCCCGAGTGGGCACGGGTGTCGGAGACTCGGCCCCAAGCACTGAGGCCAGGGGCTGGCTGTGGTCTTCCAACCTGCCGGCCCTGCAGCCCAGGGAAGCCCTGGCTTGGGACCTGGGCAGCGGCGACCTCCAGCCAGTGCGGGACCCGCCCGTCGCCTACCCGGCGACCCGCATCGGCCGGATAGGTGGTGTGAGGATGAAGATGAATGAGGTGAAAGAGACTGCCCCAAACTTGAGAATATTTGCGTTTTTATGCAGTTTTAATCTCTGAGTGCTTTTCGACCCCGATGGTTTTGGGATTGAATTTATAGGAAACAGTCGTTGCACAATATGGAATGGCCACTATATTGCTAGCATTTTATAAAAGTTTCCACGTTCCTCCCTGTAAAACAACAACAAACAACAATGAGGGTGTGATTATTCTCTTTTTTTTATATGAAAATGTACACATGAATAGAATGATTTGCCCGCCACTAGATCCCTTTCCTCTTAGTCTGTGCAAAATTATAAGCATATAACTAGTGGCAACTCGCTTTTTCCCCCCCTTTTGTGGTCTGTTTGGTTTTGAAATTGAATGATTTTTCAGTTCGCATATCACCAAAACGTGAGCCACTTTAAGGCTGCCCTCCACCAAATGCTTAACCTCCCTGAGTGGAGGCAACTGCTCCCTCTGAGCCTCATTTGAAAAGCAAGTGACAAGAAGCTCAGTCGGCTAGATATCCTTGCTACTATCCTGCTTTTCAATAAGCGAGTGCCACCAAAAAAAAAAAAAAAAAGATTTAAACTGTTGATTCATTCGTCATTCAGTCAATATTTATTGTTTACTATGTGCCAAGCACTGAGGAGCTACCCAAGAAAATCAGGTCCAGGATTCACGGTTGCATGGATTCCTCAGTCTGTTATGTATTTACTCTCAAAAAACAATATTCAAATAGCTCAGGTATCGTATTAGGGAAGACCATCCTTTAAGTACTGTAGCTAACTTAAATCCCATTTTCCAAAAGGTCAAATATATTCTGTTTTGTATGTTAAATCGAAATACTAAGTTGTCTTTGTAAGCATTGCCAACCTACATTGCCAAATGGATATTAAAAATATCAGCAAGATAAATAGCTGATGCAGTCTTGCTGCTATTGTTTGCGGATATATTCTCTTGATGAACTTTCCTTAATTCTTCTTTTTAGCTACATAAGTAATATATGTATATATGCTCATTTTGGAAAATTCAAACAATATTAAGTATTAAAAAGTTATAATTACTTTTCTTAACAACTTATTTTTCTTCATGCCCCCTGCCCATGATAACCAGCGTTAACAGTTTTGTGTGCATCGTTTTAGACCCTTGCCAATTTTTGCTTTTTTCACTAAAAA